TGGATTAGTACTAGTTTATTTTGTTTTCCACTAGTTACAAATGGGACAGTGAGTTTTATTACTCTTCGTATTGTAGTGCATTAAAATTGTATAATTTCGAACTATGGTCCCAAACCAGTTTTTATGAAAGGGTAACAGTCCAGGATTTATGCATTTCCCTTTTCTAGTCCAGTGGAGATGCTTCGGTTACCCCTGATTTAGAGTAAACGGCTAATTTGTAAAAATTCTCTAAACCCACTTGCGTCACAGTTTGACAATTTTAGCCCGAATTATGACATTTCAACCTCAATTCACTACAATTTGGAGTTTAGCAAATAAACACCAATGAATGTACACAATGTAGTATGAAAGGGACACAATAGTCACCAAAACAACTTAATATTAATGAAGCAGTTTTAGTGTATAGATCATGCCCCAGCATTGTTATTGTTCAAATTTTGTTAAATCTAGAATTTCTTATCTCCTGCTCTGTTAATATCTTGCTGGACCTGCAGGAGCCCCCTATGTGTGTTTAAAGGTAAATTTACAGAAAAGGAAATAAAAACGTATAAAGTGAGTTAACATCTGATTGAAATTAAGGGTGGACGGGGGCACTCAAACCATACCCAAGTCGCTGCCTACTTCAGCTTATTACATATAGTCAGGGTTATTTACTATAGTAAGAATTCTAAGTACATTTCTCATTTCAGGCCAGAGTGGCCGACCCTGTGGGTTTGAATTCACTTTGAGTTACCAAAAAAAACAAACCAAAAACTAATATTTTAGAGTTGAGAACACATCTGATTACTTTTGCTAATTTCTTCAGTGCCATAGTATCTGGGGCAATTCAGAAATAACCAGAGGTGGTGACACATGTCGCCATTCTTTAAGCGCTAGTATAATGGCCAACGATTCTCTGTTACCAATATCGTAGTTACACTCTGCTGGAAACAACTTTCTAGAAAAGTACCCACAATGAAGGAAAAGGGGTATCCTGACTCTCCCTTTGAGAAATAACAGCCCTTACCCCTGTTTCGGAGTCATCAACCTTCAGTATGCTGGATTTGCTAGTGTCAGGATGTACCAATATGTCAGCAAATGCAAACATTTTTTAAGAAGCTCAAAGCCTCTCTAGCTTCTTTAGACTATATAGTACAACTAGACCCCTTACGTGTCATATTGTTGATGGGGACTATCACAGAAGAGAACCCTTTGATGAATCTCCTGTAATAATTAACAAAACGAATAAACCTTTGGATGGCTTTTAACCCATTAGGTAATGGCCAGTGTAGAACAGTCTCTAGTTTACGAGGATCCATTTGGATACCAGAGGCTAAAATATTATACCCCAAAAACTGTACCTCCACCTGGTCAAAGATACATTGTTTTACAAGTTTGCAAAAGCCCATTTTAAAGCAAAGTTTGCAGTACTTGTTTGACATGTTTATGATGAGTCTAGAGGTCAGGGGAATAAAAAAGGACATCATCCAGGTACACTAGGACAAAAGAATACATATAGTCTCCGAGCACATCATTAGTAAAGTCCTGAAATACGTCCGGTGCATTACATAAACTGAAGGGCATGACAGGGTACTCATAGTTTCCACTTCTAGTGTTTAGTGCCGTTTTCCACTCATGATCTTCTTTAATTCTTACCAAAAATTGTACGCACTCCTAAGGTCAAGTTTAGTAAATATCTTAGCACCCTGGAGTCTGTCAAACAATTTGGAGATAAGGGGAATAAGATAGGCATTTTTCTATGGTAATCTTGTTTAATGCCCTGTAATCGATGCTTGGGTGTAATTCTACATCTTTTTTGGATACAAAAAAAGAACCCTGGAGGAGGATGACTTACGTATGTGGCCTTTAGTTAAAGAATCTTTAATATACTCTTCCATGATTCTACTCTCCTGTGGAGATAATGCATTTACATTCTGTTATCGATCTGCATCACATATGTGATGAATTCATTTAATCTCTTAGGTCTTTGGCAGCAATTTCATCAAGAATAGCCTTGGATAATCCTTCTTTAAATGTCGTGATCAATCCGCTATTAGTCCAGTCTACCTCAGAAGCCAAGGTGTGAAATTCTATGGCTAATCTGAGATAGACCAGTTCTCTTGTTTGATCCGCATTAGGGCAGTGGAAGTCATCCTCCCTGCCCAATGGTTCAAATGTTAACTTGAATTCTGCAAGGAATTCCTGGTAATTATAAGCTATACTCCTATTACTTTCACATAATGGATTTGCCCAAGTTAAGGCTTTACCTTTAAGTTGGTTCATCAAGTAACCAATCTTAGCTCTATCTGAGGGAAGAGATCCCGGTGAGGCCTCAAAGTGGTACTCAATGTGATTGAGAAATCCCTGGCATTCTTGGATATTGCCATCAAAATGCGGGGGAGGAGATGGGGAGATAGTAGGTGCGTTATATACTATAGATAGAGGTATATTAGGCGAAGGTGAGATAATCGGAGGGACCTCAGGCTGTAAGTGAGCTGTCCGAGTAAGAAGTGTACTGAAAGCCTGAGCAAATTGATCCATATGGTGATCATTCTTCTCTAGCTTTCTCTCGCAAGCTGCTATGTGCTGACACAATTCTGCAGGATCTATGGCCATGTCGTAATGTCAGGATTACTAAGTGACCCAGCACTCAGAGTAACATTACACCTAGGACTAAGGATAACGTATAACCGGACCTTAGAATGGCCGGACTTAACGTATCCAAGAGTAGTCAGTAAACTTCCCGAGGTCAGGGATACAGAACGAGACACAACAATGCGGGAAAGCCAAAAGTCGAGGATACCAGAAATCAGGGAAGTCAAAGTCAAATACCAGAAATATAACGATCAGGAACACTCTCTTGGATAACCAGCTAAGGGAAACCACGACAGGGCAATGAGTAAAAGGAAAAATGAGTTTATATAACCCTCTTGCAGATCCGATTGGCCGTAACCAGCCTTTGACCCAAAGACGTGTGGGTGCGTCTTTTGCGTGAGGCAAAAGACGTGGGGCTACAATATGGCGTGGATCAGTAGCAGCCGGCATCCACGACATTTGGCATAAGTCAGGCATATTGGCGCAGGACCGCTGAGTGACATCTCCATTACCATAAGGAAGGCAATTCCCAGTGCAAACATCACAAGGTGAGGATGAATACATGAGACTGATCATTACTTTGTCAGTGGGCAAACATTCAAAATCAGCAGGGGATCAAATACTTTTTTTTCTCTCACTGTAATAGACAGTAATGTCTGTGATCTTATATTATAATTAATTAATACATTATATGTAATTATTATATAGACAGTAATGGCTGTGATCTAATATTATAATTAATAAATACATTATATGTTATTATTATTAAATAGACAGCAATGGCTGTGAACTAATATTATAATTAATAAATACAGTATATGTTATTATATAGACAGTAATGGCTGTGATCTAATATTATAATTAATAAATACATTATATGTTATTATATAGACAGCAATGGCTGTGATCTAATATTATAATTAATAAATACATTATATGTTATTATTATATAGACAGCAATGGCTGTGATCTAATATTATAATTAATAAATACATTATATGTTATTATATAGACAGCAATGGCTGTGATCTAATATTATAATTAATAAATACATTATATGTTATTATTATATAGACAGTAATGGCTGTGATCTAATATTATAATTAATAAATACAGTATATGTTATTATATAGACAGTAATGGCTGTGATCTAATATTATAATTAATACATTATATGTTGTTATTATTATATAGACAGTAATGGCTGTGATCTAATATTCTAATTAATAAATACATTATATGTTATTATTATATAGACAGCAATGGCTGTGATCTAATATTATAATTAATACATTATATGTTATTATATAGACAGTAATGGCTGTGATCTAATATTCTAATTAATAAATACATTATATGTTATTATTATATACACAGCAATGGCTGTGATCTAATATTATAATTAATAAATACATTATATGTTGTTATTATATAGACAGTAATGGTTGTGATCTAATATTATAATTAATTAATACATTATATGTTATTATATAGACAGCAATGGCTGTGGTCTAATATTATAATTAATAAATACATTATGTTATTATTATATAGACAGCAATGGCTGTGATCTAATATTATAATTAATTAATACATTATATGTTATTATTATATAGACAGTAATGGCTGTGATCTAATATTATAATTAATTAATACATATGTTATTATATAGACAGCAATGGCTGTGATTTAATATTATAATTAATAAATACAGTATATGTTATTATTATTATTATATAGACAGTAATGGCTGTGATCTAATATTATAATTAATAAATACATTATATGTTATTATTATTATATAGACAGCAATGGCTGTGATCTAATATTATAATTAATAAATACAGTATATGTTATCATTACTGTCTATATAATAATAACATATAATGTATTAATTAATATTAGATCACACACATTGCTGTCTATATAATAATAACATATAATGTATTTATTAATTATAATATTAGATCACAGCCATTACTGTCTATATAATAATAACATATACTGTATAATGGCTGCCAGTTGCCCCTGATTTACCCCCTGGGGGGGCATTGGGGGGGTATTTGGGGTATTCCTGTCTCCTCACTGTTTAAACATAAAATAATCAGACAAAGTGTAACCAGCCTGCTGAGTCTCACCTGCCGCTTCCGGTTGTGGCCACGCCCGCGCAGGGGCTGTCGGGTAATGTAGTTCTGGGCGCGGTGCAGGCCGGGAGTTGTAGTTCTCTCTCAGACTGGTTTCTGCTGCTCGTATTCCGCCCCCGGGGTGAAGGAGGGAGTGTGAGCGGCTGCCAGGGATCGGCCCGGACTCTCCGAGCGGAAACTCTACAGAGGGGGAAAAGGCGGGACTCCGACACCGGAAGTGATGTAGCGGAAGTAAGATAACGGAAGTGAGATAGCGGAAGTGATTTAACGGAAGTGATGTTGCGGAAGTGAGGTAGCGGAAGTGACATAACGGAAGTGACGCGCAGTGTGCCGGAAGCAAAGCCTCCTGGTGGAAAATGGCCGAATACTTAGCTTCGATTTTCGGGACCGAGAAGGATAAGTAAGTATCGGGGTTATTACTCGGTATTGGGGCTGGGGGACCCCGGGGGGCCGGTCTGCAGCTCCTACTGGCAATATCGGCCAAAACGGCCGGAAACTCCCCCAACTGCCGGCTCTGAACCCGGACACATGGCGCTGGGACCCGGCCTGAGAGCGGGGAGCAACCGGGAGCCGGGTAACCATGGAAACGGCCCCCCCAGAGTAACCATGGAAACGCCCCCCCAAAGTAACCATGGAAACGCCCCCCCAACCATGGAACCCCCCAGAGTAACCATGAAACCCTCCCAGAGTAACTGGGGCGGGAACCCTCCCAGCAACCACGGAACCCCCCAGAGCAACCACCATGGGAACCCTCCAGAGCAACCATGGAACCCCCACCTCCCCAGAGCACCATGGAACCCTCCCCAGAGTAAAATCATGGAACCCCCAGAGTAACCATGGAACCCTCCCCAGAGTAACCATGGGAACCCCCAGAGCAACCATGGAACCCTCCCCAGAGTAACCATGGAACCCCCAGCAACCATGGAACCCTCCCCAGCAACCATGGAACCCTCCCAGAGGCAACCAAGGAACCCCCAGGCACCCCGCCATGGAACCCCCAGAGTAAAATTCACATGGAACCCTCCCTCCCAGAGTCCATGGAACCCTCCCTCCCAGAGTAAATCTCATGGAACCCTCCCCCCAGAGTAAATCCACATGGAACCCCCCCAGAGTAAATCATGGACCCCCCCAGAGGCAACCGCTGGAACCCTCCCAGAGTAAACGGGAACCCCCTCCCAGTAACCATGGAACCCCCCCCTCCCAGAGTAACCATGGAACCCTCCCAGAGGCAACCATGAACCCCCAGGCAACCATGTGGAACCCTCCCAGAGTAAATCTCATGGAACCCTCCCAGAGTAACCATGGAAACCCTCCCCAGAGTAACCATGGAACCCTCCCCAGCAACCATGGAACCTCCCAGAGGCAACCATGGAACCCCCTCCCAGAGTAACCATGGAAACCTCCCCAGAGCAACCGGAACCCCAGAGCAACTGATATGGAACCCTCCCCAGAGTAAATTCCATGGAAACCCCCCAGAGCAACCATGGAACCCTCCCAGAGGCAACCATGGAACCCCCAGAGTAAACTAAACCCTGAGAGAGAGCAACGCGGAACCCCCAGAGGCAACCCCATGCAACCCCCCAGAGTAACCATGGAACCCTCCCCAGAGCAACCATGGAACCCCCAGAGTAACCATGGAACCGCTCATTATATACACACACTACACAAACGCTCTGCGTTCATTATATATACACATACTATACGCACACTGCATTCACTATATGCTCACTACTCAAACACTCACTGCATTCATTATACACACAACACAAATACACACTGCATCCACTACAAACACGCATAGCTCCCCTGTCTAAACACACTGCATCCGCTACATGTGGCATGTATATTTTGTGCATTTACCTTTAGAAATAGTTTATTTTTTTAAAATAGTAAATGTGCAGAATATCAGTAAGATATCGGCTATCTGCCTGAAAGTTCGCAGATTATCGGTATCTGCTCTAAAAAATAAATATCAGTCGATCCCTAATTTTTACACTGTGCAATAAAGGAAATGTTAACATAATTTTTTTTATTTTTTTTTAAATGGCATTCTCTGTTAGTATAAACAAGTTTGCTGGCTGAGAAGTATTATTGTGAAATAACCTTATTTACAGGAAGTGTGTAGAGCGGCTGTGTTGCTGACAGCCATTGAGCATGTGGCTAGAGCTGCATAAACAAAAGGATTTAACTCTTTGATGACAGAGAACTGAGTAGTAAGACTGTAGGAGCAAGGTTTGTATATCCAAAACTGCTTCATTAAGCTGTTCTGGTGGTTAATGTCCCTTTAACTCTCTAAATTAGACTATAGACATTAAAATGACTTGATTGAATTGGTGTTGAAATTGTGTTTTCCAGACCTCCCACTGACTATTATTTATTTATATTATAGGGTTAACTGTTCCTTCTATTTCAAAATTGGAGCTTGTCGCCATGGAGATCGTTGTTCCCGGCTTCACAATAAACCCACTTTCAGTCAGGTAAGTCTGCAACTTGAGCAAAAGCTGATGTAGCAACACTTTATGATTGGAAAGTATGCTATAAGATATGTAGTGCTTTGGCTTATCCTTCACGCAGTGATGCAAAAGGCAAGGGTTTCATTCTCAGGATCCCTTGTGCTTGAGAGATAATGTATGTATTCGCTATACATTAATGGTAATGTAAAGTAAAGTCAAAAGGCTGCAGCGCAGCAGCCTGGCGTTGTCCCCCGCCACCCGGTTTAACCAGACCAACGGGTTGATATCCGTGAGCAAAGAGAAGGGCTGTCCATATAAATAGGGTTGCCACTTTTTCATGGCCCACACCAAGGCCAGGCATTACTTCTCTGGGTAACAGCTTGTGACTGATGTAAGCCACGGGATGTTCTCCGCCATCAGGCCTGACTTGGCTCAGTACTGCTGCTAATCTAAACATAGAAGTATGGACAAGAAAACTTGATTGGGGGTGGTCAAGACAGGGGCATTTACAAGTGCTATTTTCAAATGTTGGAATCCCTGTTCAAACGCGGGGTCCCAGACTACTTGACGGGGAAGGGAAGGTTATTACGGCTAAGGGCTTTGGGCAGGGCACTATAATTGGGCACAAACTTCCTATAGTACCCTGCTGTCCCCAGGAAAGCTAGCACCTGAGTCTTCGTCCTGGTTGGCCACTGGGCAACTGCCTCAGTCTTAACGGGCTCAGGCTTCCGTTGCCCGTATCTCGGACATGCCTATATGACATTTGCCGGGCTTAAAGGGAAACTCCAGTGCCAGGAAAACAATCAGTTTCCCTCTCCCTCCCACCCCCCAATCCCCGGTTGCTGAAGGGGTGAAAACCCCTTCAGTAACTTACCTGAGGCAGCGACGATGTTCCACGTCGCTGCTTCTCCCTTCGCGCCGCTCCTCCTTCTGACTGCGTTGGCCGGTGGGCAAGACTGATCCCGCACACTGGCTGGGGAGACCGAATGCGCGGCAATGCTGCACATGTGCATTAGCGCTCCCCATAGGAAAGCATTGAAAATGCATTTCGATGCTTTCCTATGGGGAAATGAGCGACGCTGGAGGTCCTCACACAGCAGAAGTGTCGTTAACCCTGCAAGGTAATTATTGCAGTTTATAAAAAAAAAAACTGCAATAATTACACTTGCAGGGTTAAGAGTAGTGGGAGTTGGCACCCAGACCACTCCAATGGGCAGATGTGGTCTGGGTGCCTGGAGTGTCCCTTTAAGAGTTAAGCCCTCTTCCCTGATCTTGGACCGCTCCTATATGGGCCAAGTGCTCCTGCTAGGCATCGCTAAAGATGGCGATATCATATGTACAGGCCTAGTCATGGAACCCATCCAGGAGCCGGTGCACCATCCTCTGGAAGGTAGCCGGAGCGTTTTTCATCCCAAACAGCATGACCTTAAATTGGTACAGGCCGAATGGGGTGACAAAGGCTGGCTTCGGGGGCTAGGGGGTTCTGCCAATACCCCTTACAAGGATCAATGGTAGTGAGGTATTGGCCCCTAGCCATCCGGTCTAAGAGCTCATCTATCATAGGCATCTGATATAGTCTTGTCATTTAACCCAGGTAATCCACGCTGAAACGGGTCGTACCATCCCGTTTCGGTACGAGGACTACTGGGGAGGCCCAGGGGCTGTCAGTGCTCAATAACCCCCAGTTGGAGCATCTCTTGGATCTCCTTTCACATACTTTCCCGTACTGATTCTGCGATTCGGTGTGGTGGTTGACGCAACATTAGTTGACCTGGTGTCTCTACCCTGTGAGGAGCTAAAGGAGTGTACCCAGGTACGTTGGAGAAGGTGGCTTTCTTCTCCTCGAATTGCTGCTGTATCTCGATCCACTCCTGTGGTTTCAAGTGGTCTCCCAATTTGACCTCCTCTATCTCACTTGATTGACTCGTCCCCTAGGAGGTCGGGCAGGGGAAGGTTGTCGAAGTCGGCAGGGGCACAGAACGCTGCCTCCTCCTCTGCTCGCACATGGTAGGGCTTCAGCATGTTCACGTGGAGCATGCGTCGCCCTTCTGCTCCAGAGCAAGAGCCGATCACATAAGTGGTGTCGCACATTTGCTTCACCACTTTGTTTGGACCCTGCCAGGCAGCCTGTAGCTTGTCATGCTGGACAAGTTTTAAAATTTAAGACTTTCTGCCCTACCTGAAAGCTATGGTCCCTGGCTCCTTGATCGTACAAAGTGCGCTGGCGACTCTGCGCCGCCTGGAGGTACTCTCGAACGGACCGAGTCAACTCCTCCAGACGGTCAGGGAAATCCGGAACTAATGGAACAGTGGGTGTCCCATCATGGCTTATCTCCTCCAAGTGCTCCCGGATAAGATTTAAGGGCCCCATTACCTGCCTCCCAAAGAGTAACTCAAACGGGGAGAACTCAGTGGACTCCTACGGCACCTCCCGGTAAGCAAACAGGAGGTGCGGCATGAATCTCTGTCTCAGCGAGGTGTCTGCGAACGCCCAGAACATTTGTTTTAATGTCCCATTAAACCGTTCATAGACATCGTTGGTCTGGGGGTGGTAAGGGGAGCACACAATCTGCGTAATTCCGCAGAGCCTCTAGAGATGGTGTGTGACCTCTGTGGTGAACTGGGTGCCCCGATCCGACACTATCTCCCGGGCAAATCCAATGCATGAGAAAATTCGCATCAGGGCCTCCGCTACCATTTCCACATGGATATTGGTCAGCGCCACTGTGTAGTCCACCACCGTCAAGATGTATTTCTTGCTGAAGAGGCAAGGCTTAGCTAAGGGTCCCACCAGGTCTACCGCTATTCGGCTAAATGGTTCCACAATTACTGGGAGAGGATGGAGCTTTACCTTGTGGCGGTCTCCCCTCTTACCTACTCTCTGGCAAGTATCGCATGTCTGGCAATACCGCCTAATATCCTGGCTAATTACGGGCCAAAATAAATTTTGGGTAAGCAGATATCTGGTCTGACTGACCCCTAAATGCCCGGATAGTGGGATGTTGTGCGCTATCCTGCCGTTACCTCTGGGTTACCACTAACTGCCTAGTGGGGATCGGTTCCGACCCGGCAACTACCATCTCAGACTCCCTGTACAGCAGTCCCTTATCCCACACATACCTCTCTCCCTCTAACCCCACCTGACTAGAGGTGACCCAATACCTGTAACATGGGGTTTGTGGTCACCTCTTTCCCAAACTCAGTAGGATCATCCCAGGGCAAACACTCTAGGGGTGGGGATGGGTCTCTTACCTGAGCCTCCGGGTGTGAGCTCTGGTCTCGGGTGCGGGCCTGTTGACTGGTGACTACCAGGTACAATTCCTCCGGTGATGCCTGGTGCTCAAAAGCTGACGTGAGCCTCTCCTGGTCATTCCCCAACAGTACTTCAGCCGGCAGCCTTGGCATCAACCCCACCTCCACCACTCCAGGCCCCGCTCCCCAATTCAAATATACCCGTGCAGTAGGCAGCCGGTATAATGCTACCCGTACTACCACCGTATTCTTGGTCTCTGCAGCGCCAGGCACCAAGTGCCTTTTTACCAGGGTAAGAGTGGCTCCCGTGTCACTGAGCCCTTGGACCTCCTTCCCTTGCAGGATTACGGTCTGCCGAAGATGTTGCCGGTTATCTGCGTCGGCCTGTAGTGGATCCGCTTCGTGTAGGATTTCCCAGTGCTCTATGTATGGTGCAGGGTCGGCATACTGGGTGGGAGGCTCTGCCTGGAAGTAGTGCGCTGCTGCTCTGCAGATGGTAGTAGTGCGCTGGTAGTAGTGCGCTGCTGCTCTGCTCTGCAGATGTGGCACTGGAGGTGGCTTTGATGGAATTGGGGCATTGCATTGCCTTGGTGGCACTACTGGACCAGGTGGTGCTGCTGCAGATCTGAAGAAGGGTTTGGGTTGGATTGGTCTCTGCTGTCGCTGGGCATCCAAATATTTGTCAGCTCGCTTTGCGGCTTCTATGATTGTAGTGGGGTTATGGTCTCTCACCCACTCCTATATGTCTGGAGCTAACCCATTAAAAAATTGCTCAAGTAGCATAAACTGTAACAAGTCCTCCATGGTGCTTGCTTTGTGTGCTTTCACCCACCCCAAAGCGGCCCGGTGTAGCATGGGAATCTGTATCATCCTCTGGCATGATAGCATACCTGGCGAGTATTACTGCTTTTACCTGAACATCGTGGACGGTGCGGTAAGCCTCTGCCGCCCTCCCTGACAGTGTACTTGCCAATAGGGGAACCCAATCATCCGCATTAATTTTATGTAGGGCACATTGTCTCTCAAAATCCTGGAGGAAGGCATCAAAAACTTCCTTCACCTCTACAAAGTTTTTAAAAGCGCTGTACAGTATTTTAGGCTTCCCCTCTGTCACTGCTTGGATTCTTTCAGGGGTTTGTTGATCTCTTTCCCTTAGTATAAACTCCTGGACTTCCGACATGGTTCGGGCAATGATGTCTGTGGATGGGTTTTCGCCATAAAAAGACAGCAAAATTGTAATTCTCTTTCGAATGCCGTTGGTTTCCGTTCGTGATCTGAACCGCCATCTGTTCCATATTCCGTCATAATTTCGACAGTGAGGGTAGTTTCTTGCTGCTCGCTGATATCCCTCTTACTTCTAGGAGATCCATTTTGGCGTGGACCTTTCAGGACGGAGTAGTCAGTCTCCATCCACGGTCCATCTGGTGCGACTTAATCCATTGGTTCCTCTGTGAGTTCTGGATCCCAACACTGCCAACCAATGTCGCGAAGCCCTAGTCTTAGCAGGGACTTTCCTCCGCTGGGTACTTCAAAATATACTCCAGAACAAGTAAAACACTCCAATGGAACAGGCACAGTAAAATGCTTTTATGCCATCTCCCATGCAAGGGGTCTCACAGGCAGAAAATGCAAGGGTTGCAATCTCAGGATACCTTGTGCTTGAGAGATAATTGCTTGAGTCAACTCCTCCAATTTAACTATCTCTCAAGTACAAAAAATCCTAAAAATATCCCATACCCCAAAAGTCCCCCAACCATACATAGGAACCCCATAACAAGTACATTTCCCTAATGGCCCCGATCTGAATGACCAACATATCCAAGAATCACTCAGATCGGTTCGGTAGAACAGGAACGGCATCGTGTGGAAGATTTGACCGTCCAGACACGAGGTGGTAGCCAAAAATAGTTCCAGGAGAACAGGTGCGCTGGCCAGTCTCTGTTTGGGAGGTTCCTGTTCGAAAACTATACAAGGGAATTTCTTGCTTTCATGATACGAATGCTACTTTTATATCTCCCGAATGCCATTCGTGTATGTGGTCAGGAACGAGCAGCGGTAGACAGTTTACCGGTGTTCGCACGAGTACAAAATTAGTTCTAGGCACTCGACGACCAAGTACCGCTGCCCTCGTTCAGCAGACAAGATGGCCGCCATTCTCCCATCCACGTGTTTGGTTATACGAAATGGCCACCCAGGAGAAGCACTCATTAATGGTTTCCCTTGCGGTTTCGCACTTAAATGGTCGGTGTTCTAGTTCTAATGGGGTACAGGGGTGGTCCTCGTTCGGGAGATGAATGGATTCCGTTCGTATGAAGTCTCCCGAACTGCTAAAGAAGAAGCACACGAAATAACCGGGGTTAAATACACTAAATAACAGGGGGTAGATACGGACAGCCAATATATGGGATAAAAGTAGCTTGCAAATGTCCATTCCGCTACACTTGTCAACATAAAACGCAAAATGAAACACATGATTGTGCAGTTTATTTTATACATGTGTATTTGATTTGGGCTTATTTTTTTTTTTTTTTAAACTAATAGAAATAGCTTTTCTGTGAAGTTGCTTTAAATGTGTAGTTAATTCTTTGGTTCATGCTGTAATCAATGCTCATGCAGAAGGAGGCTTTCAGTGACATCCGTGAACATCTCAGCTAGTTATTGGCCCCCTAAAAGATCTTTAAACTATCCACTGTCAATCTGATTTCATTTTTTTACTTTATACTTCCAGACAATTGTGCTGCTGAATCTATACCGCAACCCTCAGAACACAGCACAGAGTGCAGATGGATCTCACTGTGAGTATTTAAGTGGCAGATGTGCTTAATGTTCTTTCCTAATAACTTTTACAAGCTGAAATCTTCTTTGGGGCTCAACAGGCAGCGCATTTATTTCACACATTTTTAAACGTTTGTCTCACTCAGAGAACTGTCAATGACACTATAGTCACCTAAACACCTTTAGCTTAATGAAGCAGTTATAGTGTTAAGATCATGCCCCTGCAGTCTCACTGCTCAATTCACTCCCATTTAGGAGTTAAATAACTTTTGTTTCTGTTTATGCAGTTCTAGCCACACCTCCCCTGGCAGTGACTGACACAGCCTGCATTAAAACACTGGTTTCACTTTCAATCAGATGTAATTTATCTTAAACAATTTTACCCCTATCTCTGTAAATTGAGCTTTAGTCACATACAGGAAACTCTTGCAGGGTCTAGCAAACTAATTTTGATTTTCTTATCCCCTGCTATGTTAATAAACAGAACTTGCAATAAAGGAAGAATAATCATTAGATGACTCTTTGCAGGAAGTGTTTAGGAAGGCTGTGCAAGTCACATGCAGGGAGGTGTGACTAGGATTCATAAACAAAGGGATTTAACTCCTAAATGGCAGAGAATTGAGCAGTGAGGCTGCAGGGGCATGTTCTATACAACAAAACTGATTCATTAAACTAAAGTTGTTTTGGTGACTATAGTGTCCCTTTAGCAAAAAAAAAAAAAAAATCTTTTAAACAGACCTCATGTTAGAAAATTGAAAGTTTACCATTTGGTAAAACTGTTTCATAAACAATATTTTCCAGTCTGAGGATTTCTTCCAGTTAGATTTTCATATATAAATGAATCTAAAATGTTGACTCTTTTACATGGCTTGTAACACCTTCAATACTTGAGTATGAATGTTTGTTTATTTTGCAGAATAAAATCTAGTCCATAAAGTCTCACTTACCCTCATGTTTACTCTTGGTTAGCTTAATATCCTGCAGATGAACTAATTTATCTGCCTGAAGTCACTAGTTACTGATATGAGTGTAAAGTTACTGAAAATGTCAGCCCCACCCCCTGCTTTCAGACAGTACAGGAAGTTTCACTGGGTGTTAGTATTTTTACAAGAGGGCAGTAGATTGAATCTACCATCTCACTGTCAGCATTACTTTAGCAATCCAGATACTAATAAAATTGGCATTACATATTTAAATACCTTTATTTTTGAAATATGATTAAATGTATTCACTGTATGTGGGCATTGTGCTCAATGCAGACATTTGTTTTTACATTGTTGCAAAATTTAGTAAACTGCACTATTAGTAAGGCCTTCAGAGTCCTTACAAATGTCTATAAGCAAGGGTTTTGATCATTTTCATTTATATATTTTTGTCACTCCTACTGTATGTGAGAAAAATAGGCTTTTTGCTTTTATATTAACATTTCAGATGCTGTGTGAAATATTGCAGAATAAATGGACACTAAATACTGTAACATCATTTCATTCCCAAATATTGTTATAGTAGCTAACCAAAAGTAAAAAATTCAATTTCTGTAAATGTACCTTTTTTTTTTTCTTTTTTTTTTGTCTGCAAAGCAATATATACACAAAATTTACGGGCAGTTGAGACTAATCTTTACCTTTCCGTTTGTTACCTGGTTTGAAGGTGGTAGTTAATTTTAAGGCTTTCTGAATTCTCTGTGTATCTGGGCACTGTGTGATCCTGTTCATGCATTTTGGCACCCTATGTAGATATCTTTGGGCAGGTTAAGAAAAGTTCCTTGTCTTTACATCCCTCCGTTACAGGCCATGTGAGCGACGTTGAAGTGCAGGAGCATTATGATGACTTCTTTGAGGTAAGTAGTCGCATGTCTTTCGGTCCTACTTAGTGTTGTATTGCTTCACCACTTACTATATCAAACTCATTCCTGCAGGAAGTTTTCACAGAAATGGAACAAAAGTATGGTGAGGTTGAAGAGATGAATATCTGCGACAATCTTGGCGATCACCTTGTGGGGAATGTGTATGTTAAGGTAAGCTGATAACTTTTACAGTGTTTGTTATGGTGAGGATGGCAGGGTATCTACGACCACTGTGCATATACGTTGCCGTCATGATACATTTGGGAATTTTACAGTAGAATTGGTGTTTGATGAAAATTCAAACAAAAAAAGTTTTATTTATTTTAATAGTTTTTTTTTTTTTTTTTTTTTTAATCGAATTTTCCATTTTCCCTACAGTGACTGCTCCTCCTTAATGGAGAATTGTCACTTCTCTAGAAATTACTCCATTGAATAAAAACATTGATAGAGCCTCATTAACCTTTTTTGTGAAATATATATAATTATTGCTCTGTCCAAGCACAGACATGGCACACACAATAAGAAAGAAGAAAAATAGAAATTTCTCCTGATTGATTTTATGCTCTCTCTACCAACAGAGGTTTGGGTTTCTACATTTAAAGGGGCACTCCACTGTCCAAATAAATTACTTTTTAGTAGATGTAACCCCAATTAAAACATACACCATGTTACAAAGTTCATTTATGAAAGTGCCAATTTCCGTTGCAAAATAAATTATAGGGCACACTTTTCACATACAGAATTTAAGAAAGCTAAACTGCTTTAGCAGTCTGGAATGCTCCTTTAAAGGACCACTCTAGGCACCCAGACCACTTCAGCTTAATGAAGTGGTCTGGGTGCCTGGTCCTTCTAGGGTTAACCCATTTTTTCATAAACATAGCAGTTTCAGAGAAACTGCTATGTTTATGAATTGGTTAAGCCTTCCCCTATTTCCTCTAGCGGCTGTCTCACTGACAGCCGCTAGAGGCGCTTGCGTGCTTCTCACTGTTATTTTCACAGTGAGAGCACGCCAGCGTCCATAGGAAAGCATTATGAATGCTTTCCTATGTGGCCAGCTGAATGCGCACGCAGCTCTTGCCGCGCACATTCAGCCGACGGGGAGGAGAAGAGGAAGATCGTCTGGGACAAAATGGCGCAAACATATTATGCACTGAGGTTATTGCTTAAAGAAACAGTTATGAAAAGCAATATGTAAAAACTTGTAATATTTGCATTTGCCCATAACAAGGAGAGCTCCCCGCCCAGCGCTGGAAAAAGGAAAGTTTTTACCCCTTTCCCCCTTCCAGAGCCTGGCGGGAGGGGGACCCTGAGGGTGGGGGCACCCTCAGGGCACTATAGTGGTCCTTTAATTTTAGATTTCCGATAAGGAAACCTTTTGTTAAATATTGGGAAGTGGCCTTTACACTTAAAGGGGTTTATTTACTAAACATGTTGTAGTTGACTAAAAACCAAATTGGCATTTAGGTTAAAATAGCCAAACTACAACCATACATAATTAGCACTGTGTGGATAATTTCCCAAATCATTTTACAAAGCCGAATGGTCAGTGGGAGAAATTCTGTCATTTCAAGTGTGAAAATGTTTCCTTGGTATTACATACTGTGCCGTGTAAATAAATAGAATATCCAGTGAATTTCAGACTTTCAGCCAGACTGTCTGAATTGGAAGAATTCTTTAATTCAGCTATGCTTCCAGTTTGCTATATTTTGGTCAAAAATTTTAAATTAATTTTGAAGAAAGCTCCTATTGTCATGCTCAAGATTACTAAACGTTTGTTTTATATCGGAATCGGTTTGAGTCTGTCCTACATTTGTTTATGGGATACCTAGGTAAGTATAGAGAGAGTGCAGGCAAAACTTTTCAAATTTGGTACTTTTTTTAAATTTATTTATTTATTTTTTTGTGTTATGGGGTGAGTGCAATTTTAATTTCACCTCCGTTCCAGGTTGAAGATCTCTGGTGGTGGATAAATATCAGTCGTCTTTGGCAGCATTCTGATATTGATATCCCACTGGTTACAGAGCTTGGGCTAGTAGAAATGCTGTTTGCCTCAGAAAAAACAAGCAGTCTGCTGACATTAACAGAAGTGGTAGCCTGATCCAATCACAGTGCTTCCCCATAGGATTGGCTGAGACTGACAAAGAGGCAGATCAGGGGCAGAGCCAGCATGATTCAAACACAGCCCTGGCCAATCAGCATCTCCTCATGGAGATGAATTGAATCAATGAATCTCTATGAGGAAAGTTCAGTGTCTGCATGCAGAGGGAGGAGACACTGAATGTTTGATGCATTTTAGGCAGCCATGACCCAGGAAGGATCTCTAACAGCCATCTGAGGAGTGGCCAGTGAAGTTATCACTAGGCTGTAATGTAAACACTGCATTTTCTCTGAAAAGACACTGTTTACAGCAAAAAGCCTGAAGGGAATGATTCTACTCACCAGAACAAATTCAATAAGCTGTAGTTGTTCTGGTGACTATAGTGTCCCTTTAAATTCGGAGTTCAAGAATGTGCAAAATTTGTGTGTCTACCTTGTGATATGTGCTAGGATGATTCAAATCAGTGAGATTGAGGTTTCTGTGGACATCTGTACAAGCAGAATTTGTTGTGCATTATGACACAAAGATGGTCACCTTGGTTAAACCAAGAAAACAAACTGGGGGCTTTCCAATACAAATACAGAGATAACCACTCACAAAAATTACTATTAATGCTGGACCACTTGAGATAACAATCTTTATGAATTTGGAATAAATGTTTCTGTAGAAACGGGAAATACTTTAGTACCACAGACTTTTTACATTTCTTATAACAATGGGTTCCTTAATTCTACTGAACATTCAAAGGTAAAAATCTCTGGGTCGTTTTTTTTTTTTTTTTTTTTTCTGCCCAATTGCTGTCTGTGTTTTAGATATAATTTCACTCTGTCATATGAGGGTTTGTGTTTCTGTAAGATAATGTTTGTCCCATCTAATTTAATGGCAGGTTGTATTCACTGCCATTAAAATCAGAGCTTCGCTCCTCAGCAATATTGCATATCAGTCTTCCCCTACGATCAGCATATCTATCTCCTCTAGTGTTTTCATCTTCCTCCTCCTCTTCAGCGTTATCTGTTACTGTGTGTCTATGTGCTGTGCAAAAGTCACCGTTTTCCCAGAAGAAACTGAACTCTGAGCCCTCCAGCTCCCGCATATCATCCATTTCTTTAGCGCTGCAGCGTGGTAGTTGGACCTCGAAGGTCTTATGGAATCGTTTGTAATCCACACGGAAAGCTCCTTTTTCAAGTGTCATGCAGGGCTCAAAGCGGTGGCCCCAGATGATTTCTGTCTCCAGGTAGGAGCTTTTGGCTTGGCAAGTCATTCCTATTGAGGGAAAGTGTCTAGTTAAATCTCTGATTTGGCAAAAGCTATATATACTCTTGGTGTATGGCGTTCTGGACATCTATAAAGAATGTCTACAATATAAAAGGGTTACTCCAATCATCATAACCACTACAGCCTACTCGTAGGAGTACCCTGTTTCCTGGTAATTGGACAACCTGGCTTCTGCAACACTGGATGCTGATTCTACCAGCCATTCATTGGCGGAGTGTCCGCTAACTGCTCTTAGCCAATGGTTGCAATTCTCTGCAAAAAAAATATGCACAGAACTGACATTAGTTGGTCCTGAGCTTTTGTTACAGGCTGTCTGTTGACGCCCCAGTGACAATGCTGGAGGGGAAGTTACACATACAGACTCCAGGTACCATGTCTACTTCAACTCACTGAAGTGGCCATGGTGCTTGAAATAACCCTTTAAAATTTAGAACTTTGGCAGAGGAGAAAAATCACTGAATTACCTAAACCCTATTAGAAGCAGTACTATCTAGTTATTGGTGTTAACAGTTGGCCTAATATCTTTTTGTATCAAGCACAAACAGCCCAGGTCTTTCCAGAGTTACTTGCCTGTTGCTTCAACAATGCCCTCCAAGATGACAATAATCTCAAACTGCTCTCGGATTAGCTGCTCCGGACCCATTTCCCAGAAGGGACTGTTCTCGTCAATCACGTGGCAGATCACTTGTGGCTCTACCAAGAACAAACGATCTTCCCCAGTTTCATAGCCAAGATTTATCTCAGATTGTTCAAGTGGGAGGAATTCTCCTTCATATGTTTGTCTTGACTTGATGAGCTTGGCCCTGATTTTAGCATCCACCATATGGCTGTCTCGCAAATCACCTATACGAAACATTAGACAAAGCCTCTCGTCTCGAGGGCACACTACACAGTTCTGGCTAAAAATTAATGTCTGTGCCCGTTTCTTGGGTCTAGAAATCTTCACAAACATGCATCCCACCATAAGGGCATCAATCATGGAACCTACGATGGACTGGGTCATTATGAGGTAGACCCCTTCTTGACAGTTGGCAGTCACCATGCGGGAACCGTAGCCAATGGTACGTTGGGTCTCCACAGAGAAGAGAAGAGCTGAAATGAAACTGTCCACATTCTGGAAGCAAGGATACCAGTCATCATTTCCCACATTGTCCAGGTCTGTGCGCCAAAAAGCATCCAAATAGTAGATGGCAGCAAACAGAAGCCATGTAAGAATGTAGCACATCATGAAGACGAAGAGAAACCAGCGATACTTAAGGTCAACAATAGTGGTGAAAATGTCTGAAAGGAACCGTCCCTTCTCCTCAATGCGGCCCAGGTTTACCTGGCACTTCCCATCCTTGGTGACATACCTTTGACGCTCTCGCTGTGTGGAAGCCTTTCCTTGATGGTGCTCTGCCTCCATGAGTTTGCAACGTTGCTTAATTTGCCGTTCAGGTCCTGTAGCTGGAGCAGAAAAGATTCCACGAGGTGGCATGTTGAGGTATCGAGGTCCATGAGTGATGTCTGGTACGCTTACGGCATGTCGGGGATACCAGCGACCATTCCCAACTCCCCCATCTCTCAAAGAACAGCGTCTATACTTGGGGAGGTCAGATGAGATACACACACTTGGCCGTGCACGATTTGGAATAGGGTAACTAATGTCATTAGTGCTCATGTTACGCTTATAAGTGCTTGGGGGCATTATGTCTGGGAGTGGAAGTGGAGGATGAGTGGGCGGTGGCAGAGGACGTACAGCCTGGTTGGGCTCTGCTGTACATGTTGGTACGATCACACATTCTGGCTGAAGGACAGAAGGAACAATGTTACAATTTTATCAAAGCACATTGAAAAGGTTTCTGTGGCTCAGGTTTAGATTTCTAACTCCTTACCTTCTGTGGAAAGCTGTGGTAGCGGCTTGTGTCGGTGGGTGGCCGTGGTAAATAAGCAAGGACCTGCCTGGGTTTGCTGGCTTGGCTGATGATAGCACAGCGTCCATTTAGTTCGAAGTTACTCCCCTTGTCTGTTGCAGGTCCCTCTCCGTGCAGGGTCACTCCTGGCATGCTGATGCTGACTGCTGACTCTACAAGCGGGGGAGTGTGAACACCACGCCGGTATTCTGTGCGTGTCATTAAGGTCCTGTAAAAGATTTATCAATGTGGTACCTTCCGGGCTACATAAAGGGAAAGAATGACAAATCCCTTAAAACACCAATCCTTAATGGCTAGATGTAATGTAGTGGCAGTACAGTACATGTCTTGTGCTTATGGTGTAAAACCCTTTAAAAGCCCTATACTGTAACGATAATTAGCAGTTACTTTAGTGTTTGTGTATGCTTCACTGTCCCACAGAGTCCCTCTGGGCAGCCAGAAGCTATGGTTCAGCTAGCACCCTGAGTGCACCCTATATCCCATTCTCCCATTCACACAACTGCTGTCACTAATCGGTCAGTGGCCAGGGAGCTGTGCTCCCCTGTATAGCTCACTACAGCAGCCACATGCCACCAGACTCAAAGGATGAGACTTCCCACAGCAAGCAAACCACTTGGTAATACGTAGAAATAAGCAGGGAATGAAAAGGTGCATGCTGTCAATTGGTGATTGGGTATGAAGCTGGTAATTAACATGGGAAGACCCACGCTGATATGCCCCGAATTCATACTACACCCACGCTGATACGCCCCGAATTCATACTACACCCACACATAGAAGCTCATTTGAGCAGGGCCTTCTTTACCTCTGGTTAGAATTGGTATGTAAATTACCTGTAAATGTAAATATCCCCATTTCTGATTGTATAGCAGTTGAATGTGACTGTTCCGACACTATATAAATGATGTTGCTAATAATATATAGTGAAGTCATGTTTTTGTGAAATAAACTAATACTGTCATGATTTACATGAGTTAATCTTTACAGGGATTAATAATAAATGCTTGCTCCTATTTTCAGAATATTTGTTTTCATCCCACTCACTCTTTGCTTGTATGCTTAACCAATATATAGTAAAACCTCATTACACTATTGTCCTGTCACACTTGTTGTTTTTTCTATATTTTCCCTTTTGTGTTACCTGCATAGAGCTTTTAGAAGTTTACATGTTCTGCTACTCGTTGCATGACCGTTTGGTCACAGTTATTTAACGTGTGTGTCTGTTCTCCAGACCTGTGATACACTGATTTTGTATGTCTGTGGGCTTGGGTTAAATTTTGGGTTCCACATACCTGTTTCTGTGCTTCGTGGATCCTCTGTCTAGTTGTGTCCCAGATCTCTGTGTCAAATCCTAATTACGTTAAATCAGATTAAGTGCAGCTATATTAAGCTGTTGTCAGGATGCCTGTGACGTGACTTTGTCCTCAGCCACTCCAGGTATCTCCTCACTTTCAGCTTTTCTGTCCAATCCTCTGATCACCTCCTCCCGGCTGGTTTGTTTACATTGCGGCTTCCAAATCCCGTTATCCCAGTGTTTGCTGTGTGGTGGTGTTCTTAGAATTTAGGTTATTTCTATGTTTCCCTGCAGTTCCGGAGAGAGGAGGATGCAGAACGTGCCCTTGTGGAGCTAAACAATCGCTGGTTCAATGGACAGGCCATTCACGCAGAGCTGTCACCAGTCACAGATTTCAGGGAGTCATGCTGTCGGCAGTATGAAATGGGGTGAGTCCTTTAATCTCCAGCCTTCCCTCCTCCCCCCCTCCCCCACATTTCACTGACCATGTACTCTGCCTATTATCCTATGCTACATTTTTTTTTACTTGTTTAAGTCTTGTGTTTATACATCTGTCATGTGGCCGCATGGTCTGTATGTACTCCTGCATTGTGTCTTGTGTTCAATATTTATCCAAATCACACCTTTCTGGGAACTGTTTGTTTGTCTTTCAGGGAGTGCACCCGAGGCGGGTTCTGTAACTTCATGCATTTGAAGCCCATTTCCAGCGCACTCCGGCGACAGTTATATGGACGTGGGCGCAATCGAGCGTAAGTTTGTGGTGTTATATCTGTCAGTTCTCAGAAACTCTTACTTTTTAAGTGACCCAATCTATATTTTTGGCCACATAAGAGGCTGGTGCATCACTGCTGGGACTCAAGGACCCAAGTGCTGTCCTATAGGGAGAACTGTTATCTCTGTAAGACCTGATATCCTAATTGCTTTTGGCTGTTTTTACCAACTTGTTTCAGCTGTTTAGACTATTCCAATCTTGCCTCACAATAATGCTGTAATTCTGTCTATAAATACGCTTTATACACTGGTCCAGAATGAGACCGGCTGGATGTCCATCTGTTCATTGTTCAGTAGTTTCTATTCAGTGTCCTATTAAAAAAAATTTATTTCGTAGAACTGGACCAAAGGCTCCATCCCCCAAGCGGTTCTCGGATAGACAACGGCCCAATGATCGAGACAGGCGTCGACGTTCAAGATCCCCTCGACACCGATATGGACGTTTCTGAAACTCGTTAACACCATTGTGACAGAGAAATTTGGAATTACCCAACCCAACCACGCCTATGACTATAAACCGTTTCACTGCTGGAGGGTTTTACGCATTTTGGTTTTGAAGCCATTTTAGTTCCCTCTGGTACTGAAGCAGTTAAAACTGTAGGGACCATCCTCTGGCTGTGTCAGTTTATCCCTCTTCTTACCAACTCTCAAAGGCAACCTTTTTAAAAAAAAAAAAAAAAAAAAAAATTTAGTTTAAGGGAGAATTGGATTCAACTGACAGAAGGGCCCAGACGTCAGAGCAATGCTGCCACAACGGTCCAATCGTCCGTTTCTCTGTATAATCTACTTTAAAAAAAATAAAATAAACCCACGCTCCTGTTACTTGAGGAGAGGGGTGTTTTACCTGGACCTCTAGGTGCTGTACTACAATTCCTATAATTCTCTGCCAGCCGTCATCAGTTGGAGGTCCAGCTTAGACATCCTTCTTCTTTGTGACTTTCCTGAAGAATAATGCGTCCGGCCCCCGTTCCTCTTACTGTTGGCAGTTGCCGTTTTGTGACCGTCACGTTTTTGCTAAAATGAAGGCTACAGTAATCTGCCATCTCGATTTTCCAGCCAGCCTCATGAGGTACGATAAACCTAATACTTTGCAATGAAACTGGCTGGGACATCTTGAAATGCTAAGTTTGGATTCCAACTCCTATCGGCGGTGACTAATATTTCTGATTGTGATGGAGATGTGCTAATTCAGCAGCTGGAAGGCTGCAAGTTGTCTGCCCCTGTTGTAAAGATATCTTCCCTATTTTTATATCATTTTGTGAACAAAACTGAACCATCAATTCTAATTGTGTAGCTGCAGCTGTTACATATATACAAAGAGGGGAATCTGTGTAGCCCTCCAACATTCTGTATAAGTTGCCTTAAAGTCCTATTAATGTATAAAGCATTTTCATACTCTTTGTGGATGATACAATGTATTTTTTTTTTTTTTTTTTCCTGTAATTAATGTAAGAGTGGTTTGGCATGTGGCATTATATGGCCCAGGACCAATCTATCTGTGGGCTGTAGCCTAGTACTGTCCTAGGAAGGAGGGCGCTATGGGAATGTATTTTTAAATCGTTCTGGTTGTTTCCATCAACATCATAGAATTTCTTCACAAGCTCCAGGGTCGAGTCACCATACCCCCGCAACAGCACAAACCGTTTGGCCAAAATTGCCTTTAACAGTCCTTAAAAATATTCTAGAAATTCTTTATTGTGTGTGTCTATTTGCTAACAAGTGGTGTGTTTTTTTTGTTGTTTTTTTTTATCAACTTGAAAATCTAGACCAAAATAGCCAAAGAGAATTTTCCCAGCTCCTGTTTTGTTAGCTGCTGATTGGCAAATAAAGTGATCCGCTAAGCTGGGTCGGTTCGCCTTTCAAGTGGCGGCATGTTATGGAAGCCCACATCCTCCTGACAGTTACTGCAGAGAGCTACAGAGCTAACATTCCTTTTACTGACAATCCACGCTGACTGACGGTTTCTGATTGGCTGTTCTGTAGGGTAGAGAGCAGTTAGTAACACAGTCACTGCTATTAACTAAACAATGAATTTTTACAAAATGAACCCTCCAAGCATCATAACAATTACAGAACCGCTTTGCAAGAGGTCAGACCATCCTTTAACCCCTTAAGGACCAAACTTCTGGAATAAAAGGAAATCATGACATGTCACACATCATGTGTCCTTAAGTGGTTATAGGGTTGAAGCGTTACGCATCAGGGCACTCCTTGCACTATAACCACTACAGCACATAGTGTTCCTTTAAATCTGAATGGCACAACTAGGCAGTCTGTGGCTGATTGGGATGATATTTTCCCAGACCAGCTATTTTTCTCTGTTTCCTTTCAGGTTTAATTTGCCAAATTTGGAGATGAATAATCTTGAATGTGCCGACGTCCCTAGAACTCTGTAGCTTGAGTAATCTGGCTTTCTGGAGTAAAACCCTTTTTGATACTTATTAATGACACATTGACAATGGATCTTTTACCTCAGTCATTCCATCATCACTGCTGCCACCTGCTGGTAGCAAAATTATTCAGGCCATCACCATTCATATATTGTATGGCTGCATGTGTCATGGTGCAGTTTAGTTTGTGTAAAAAATTAAAGGAAATATTCTGCAGCGTGGTGTCAGGTTTTTAATGTCTCAACTTATTTTTACGCCATGTTACTCCATTCAGATTAAAGTTACTCACCCACTCACAGTAACAATACCCCTTAGCATCAAAACTAGATCCCAGTTTAGCAGGGTGCAGATTATGGTGACTTGGTTTGCCACTTTCAATTTATTCAAAAATCTATTCCTTAAAAGGGGAATTAAAAAAAAATATATATATATATATATATTATAAGAAATCCCAAGTAAGTGCATGAAAGTACACCCAGGTGCCCATTCCTTATTTCAAATCTGTAACCGCTGAATCCGCATCTACCAGAGAGGTGAGACTTCCACTCTGTAATTGCTGATATGCAAACTGACAAGATAAGCATGTTGGAGGAAGGTAATGAAACCATTCCTTATTTTAATTAAAACATTAAATGTGTAACCCAATCCAACTAGGCAGAGAATTATCATAAAATATATCTCATAACATCAGTGGGTTGTTTTTTTTTATTCTGATACCAATTCTATAACAAAAAAATATCATTTATTGTAACAACGTGTTACATAGCATTATAAAGACGTTGTACACAGAGAGCCATGTTGGATTATATAATCATTTCTCACCATTTCTTTTTGTAATGAGTCCGGAAAAACTTATGCAATTTGAGACTTACCGCAGTGCCCCAGGGCGTGAAGCGTGTTCTATCAGCTGATTTATTCCTCGATTTCTTTAATCAGCCCCACAAATTTAGCTCTGATACATGGAAATGGGAGCAGACCCATACAGACACCTGATTAGCTCTCAGAGCAATCCATCTCATTGGTCACTTTTGAGTTAAGGAAATCCATGTCACCATACATGAGGCAGTTGGTTTCTTTTTGAATGTAACCTTTGATAGAATAAGGATAATTCATTCTGTTCTGCATGAAATAATCCTTAAAGGGACACTATAGTCACCTGAACAACTTCAGCTTAATGAGGTTGTTCAGGTGAGAACTATAGCTACCTGCAGCCTTTCTCATGTAAACACTGTTTTTTCTGAGAACACCTCTGGTTGCAGTCACTCAGAGTGAACCAGAGGGACTTCGGAGTTGATGGAGGCATAATATGCCTCCATCCACTCAGATCTGCTGGCAGCAGAGCACAGGGCAGCACTGTGCACAGCATCCTGTGATTCAGTAAATCCTCCCTCTGCATGCAGACACTGAACTTTCTTCATAGAGATACATTGATTCAATGTATCTCTATGAGGAGATGCTGATTGACCAGGGCTGTGCTTGAATCATGCTGGCTCTGCCCCTTTGTCAGTCTCAGCCAATTCTATGGGGAAGTACTGTGATTGGATCAGGCTACCACATGTCAGTAGAGTGCTTGTATTTCTGAGTCTAACAGCATGCAGAGTTACAACTTCTGGCTTGAATACAGAAAGATTTTTACTATATTTATGGAGGCATGAGGGGCCAGATGGTGGTGTTAACACTATAGGGTCAGGAATACATGTTTGTGTTCCTGACCCTATAGTGATCCTTTAACCCCTTAAGGACCAAACTTCTGGAATAAAAGGGAATCATGACATGTCACACATGTCATGTGTCCTTAAGGGGTTAATGATATAAATTTCATGGCAGTTGAAAAAGATACATTTTCCAAAGATTTCCACAATTTTGGTCATTAGTGTAGGATAACTTACAGAAAGCTTTGTATATATTAAACAGTGCCTAGATCCCCAAAGTCCATACTATTTTGTTATTATATTAAGAAACCGGTTCTATTGAACACCTTACCCAATACCCGATATTACATGGTGTTCCCACCCAAATGTTACAATTTCTTCATAATTTGCTGTAGATTATGGTAGATTCTTGAACTTTGTGAATTTGGGCTAATCTCTTAGGGAAAAATGACAGCCCATTGGTTTTTTAATTACGCTCCTTTTCTTGACGCTTTCAGGAGGATGTTTGATCCTTAAGGTAAAAAAATCCAATGCAGCCAGATCTCTCATTTAACTTAAACAAGGCAATACATTCCGTGTGGATTATGCATTAGAATTCAGGGCCTTAGCTGTAGAAGTTAGATGGAACAATCAGGTGTTTGTGGATATTTTCCTTAAAGGGACACTATAGTCACCTGAACAACTTTAGCTTAATGAAGCAGTTTTTGGTGTATAGAACATGCCCCTGCAGCCTCACTGCTCAATCCTCTGCCATTTAGGAGTTAAATCCCTTTGTTTATGAACCCTAGTCACACCTCCCTGCATGTGACTTGCACAGCCTTCCATAAACACTTCCTGTAAAGGGAGCCCTATTTAGGCTTTCTTTATTGCAAGTTCTGTTTAATTAAGATTTTCTTATCCCCTGCTATGTTAATAGCTTGCTAGACCCTGCAAGAGCCTCCTGTATGTGATTAAAGTTCAATTTAGAGATTGAGATACAGTTATTTAAGGTAAATTACATCTGTTTGAAAGTGAAACCAGTTTTTTTTTTTTTCATGCAGGCTTTGTCAATCATATCCAGGGGAGGTGTGGCTACGGCTGCAGAAACAGAAACAAAGTGATTTAACTCCTAAATGGCAGTGAATTGAGCAGTGACTTTGCAGGGGAATGATCTATACACTAAAACTGCTTTATTTAGCTAAAGTAATTTAGGTGACTATAGTGTTCCTTTAATAGTCTGATGGTATTTTGGATGAGGTACCCACCAGCGATCTTCCGGAAAACGTAGAAGATCTGATTCCTTATCAATCTCTTATAAATGAACATATGAGGCACAGACAGAACTCTAGCGACAGACCCAGAAGGTATTCATAGTTACATAGTTACATAGCTGAAAAGAGACTTGCGTCCATCAAGTTCAGCCTTCCTCAGAAATGTTGTTGCTGTTGATCCAAAAGAAGGCAAAAAACCTGGTCTGAAGCACTTCCAATTTTGCCACAAACTAGGAAAAATTCCTTCTTGACCCCAAAATAGCAGTCAGATGTCTCCTTGGATCAATCAGCTATTACCCCACTAATTAGAAATTATATCCCTGTATGTTATGTTTTTGTAAGTATTTATCCAATTTCAGTTTAAACATCTGTATGGACTCTGACAAAACCACCTCTACAGGCAGAGAATTCCATATCCTTATTGTTCTTACTGTAAAAAAACCTTTTCTTTGCCTTAGATGAAATCTCCTTTCTTCCAGCCTAAATGTGTGACCTCGTGTCCTATGTATAACCCTGTTTATGAATAGATTTCCATTAGAATGGCTCCATCTTTTAACCCTGCTCACTCTATGGCCTTATCTCTGGCTGAACCTATGTAGAGCAGAAGGAGGATGATTATGTTTGTACTGTGGGCAAAGGGGCATCACCATTTAATTTGTTCTAGTCGGAAAACTCCTGCATCTAAGTTCCTCTGCGGGCTAAAAATAAGTTCCTCTATGTCTAAAAATAAAGATCACAGGGTCCTGATTCCTATCACCTTGACCTGGTAGAAGAATGAATTACATACTGTGCCACTGATTCTGGAGCAGCCAAAAATTGTATTAATCAAACAAATCACATTTAAGAACTACACCCTTAACAGTTGAGGCTATAGATGGTAGACCACTTCAGATTCCTGTTATTTCTGACAAAACCATATGTTTACAAAGGATGGTTGGGGTTTTGCATACGGAAATGATTATACTACAGTTAATCTCTTCTCCATTATAGGGTTCCCCTGGTTAAAATGAGCATAATTCCACTATTGATAGGGAAAGAGGAGATAATGTGTTTTGGAGTAAGAATTGTCTTCAATAAATGTCCTATGCCATCCTTATCTACTGAGGTACCTAAAAAAAATACCTAGATGGTAAAGACGTTTTTGACAAAGGAAAGACTGAGTCATTACCACCACATAGACCCTGTGATTGAGCCACTGACCTAATACGGGTACTATGCCTCCACAAGGTACTGTAAATCCTCTTTCTAGTAAAGAAAATCTGGTATTGGAGGAATATATAAAAGAACAAAGGTTTGTTAGGAGATCATCATCGCCAGCCAGGGCAGGGTTTTTCTTTTTGTCCAAAAAAAGGTGATCTCAGACCTTGTTTAGATTAAAGGATTGAATAGGATTACTGTGAGGAATGCTCATCCTATCCCAATGATTACCAAGTTATTTGATAGGTTAAAAGGTTCCACAGTATTTGAGAGGGGCATATAATCTGGACAGAATTCTTAGAGGGGACGAATAGAAGACATCCTTTAACACTTGATATGGACACTACAAGTATACCGTGATGTCTTTTGGGCTATGTAATGCACTGACTGTCTTCCAAGATCTAATTAAAGCGACACTCCAGGCACCCAGACCACTTCAGCCCATTGACGTGGTCTGGGTGCCAACTCCTATCACCCTTAAAGGACCACTCTAGGCACCCAGACCACTTCAGCTTAATGAAGTGATCTGGGTGCCAGGTCCAGCTAGGCTTAACCCATTCTTTTATAAACATAGCAGTTTCAGAGAAACTGCTATGTTTATGAATGGGTTAAGCCTTCCCCCAATTCCTCTAGTGGCTGTCTCATTGACAGCCGCTAGAGACGCTTGCATGATTCTCACTGTCAAAATCACAGTGAGAGCACGCAAGCGTCCATAGGAAAGCCGTGACTCTTGCCGTGCGTGCGCATTCAGCCGCATGGGAGGGCTCCCCGCCCAGCTCTGGAAAAAGGTAAGTTTTTACCCCTTTCCCCCTTCCAGAGCCGGGCAGGAGGGGGTCCCTGAGGGTGGGGGCACCCTCAGGGCACTATAGTGCCAGGAAAATGAGTATTTTAGTTAGACAACCACAAGAGGGACTTCTGGGTTCTTAAAACATGAAAAGTGTTTTAAACAACACTGGACATCCTCACGCTATGCATGAGGACCTCCAGCGTCGCCGGTATCCCCATAGGAAAACGCTGATGTCGGTGGGGGAGGAGCTTGGGCGGAGCCTGAACCAGCACCAAGGCATATCGGCGCTGGATTCAGGTAAGTCACTGAAGGGGTCTTAACCTCTTCAGCAACAAGGGATGGGGGTGGAGGAGGGGCAATGCAGTGCCAGGAAAACAGGTTTGTTTTCATAGCAATGGAGAGTCCCTTTAATGATGTGTTAAGAGACAACAGGAGTATGCTATAGTATATCTAGGTGGTATATTCCAAGGACAGAGACACAAACACGTAAAAA